GGTGACATGAATGGCAAGTTGCCAAATGATATTAGAGTACGGGTTGTACATTTCATCACCTGGTTGGTGGGATGAAGATGAGTTCCTTCTTTACTTGGTTGGTGGCATGAGTGGCAAGTTACCAAATGATATTAGAGTACTGGTTGTACATTTCATCACCTGGTTGGTGGCACGAAGATGAGTTCATTCTTCACCTGGTTGGTGACATAAGTGGCAAGTTGCCAAATGATATTAGAGTACGGGTTGTACATTTCATCACCTGGTTAGTGGCCTGAAGGAGAGTACGAGTTGTACATTTCATCACCTGGTTGGTGGCATGAAGATGAGTTCCTTCTTCACCTAGTTGGTGGCATGAGTGGCAAGTTGCCAAATGATATTAGAGTACAGGTTGTACATTTCATCACCTGGTTGGTGGCACGAAGATGAGTTCCTTCTTCACCTAGTTGGTGGCATGAGTGGCAAGTTGCCAAATGATATTAGAGTACAGGTTGTACATTTCATCACCTGGTTGGTGACATGAAGGAGAGTACGGGTTGTACATTTCATCACCTGGTTGGTGACATAAAAGAGAGTACGGGTTGTACATTTCATCACCTGGTTGGTGGCATGAAGATGAGTTCCTTCTTCACCTGGTTGGTGGCATGAGTGGCAAGTTGCCAAATGATATTAGAGTACAGGTTGTACATTTCATCACCTGGTTGGTGGCATGAAGATGAGTTCATTCTTCACATTTCATCACTTGGTTGGTGAGAATAAGGGCAAGGTGTCGAGGCACATTGTAGCAAGTGTCAAAGACACAAAGTATGTTGAACCCTTTCGAAGCACAGTTGGCTTATGTATGAATGTGTTGGAATGTATGATGTTTATGTATGAATGTGTTGGAATGTATAATGTTTATGTATGAATGTGTTGGAATGTATGATGTTTATGTTGATTGATATGAGTGATGCTGATGAATGTTTTGCTATGCATGAAGGGATCCATGCTTTTGATATGTGAACCATGTTGGTTGTAACACTTAGTATCACATACTTTGTGTCAAAGTATGCATGTTGAAGCTCTGAGTTGGAGTATAAGGGTAGGTCATGGTAGACCAAGTGTTCCAATGCTAGGAGCCCAATGGGTGTCTGAATGGCCAAGATCTCCTCACTTGGTAGAATTTGACTTCCACTTCCCACTTGTTGATAGGGGTTAACCATATGGGGGTTCCCTTGGTATGTCCTTGCTTCGGCGGAGGCGTGGTTGTAAGCATGTGCCATCACCTCAGAGTAAGTCTTTCAAGTGTTGGCATTGATCATGTACTTGAAGAAACAATCACGTAGGCCTACCATGAAGGCCTTGAGGGCGGTATTGTCATCTGCCTCAGCGCAGCAAGAATACTCATGGCTGAAGTGATCGGCATACTCTCATAGTAACTCGTCCGGCTTCTGGTGAATAGTGTACAAGTCATCTGCATAATGCAAGCGATCGGTCTAGAAGATGTGTTGAGAAACAAACAGTTTCCTTAGTTCCTCAAATGAGTCTACTGTCTCAGGTGGAAGATGACAATACCAGTTTAGAGCTCCGACAGAGAGGGTGAAGGGGAAGAGAAGACATCGCTCTTCGTCAGTGTGCATTTGACATGCCATGATGGACTCAAAGAGGTTAAGGTGTTCAATTGGGTCATCCCTTCCAGTATATAGTTGTAAACCAAGCTTTTGTTTTGTCTTCGCTTAAAGAGGGGTGTCGAGGATCCTCCTTGTGAGAGGGCCAGGCCTGGGTTGGTTCCAGTCAGGTATCTCGGCCTGACGTTCGACCTTTAACTTGTTTACTTCTTCAAGGAGCTGTAGGACAAAGAGGTCCTGAGTGGAGCCATGTACCACTGGAATTTTCTTTCGTAAGTCTCCATCGCCTCTTGGAAGTAGGAAAGTTTGAGCAAGGGCGTGTGGTTTTTTCTTGGACTTGCCGTACTGACTTCTAGGGTGAGTCTGTCGGAATACCTCAGGTACCTGTTGTTCCTTCCCTAGATTGGCAGGAGGCCTGAGTCGTGGGAGGGGACCGAGTCTTTCAGAAACCCTTGGGTCATTGATCTTCGAGCATATGTGGAAGGGTTTCTCTCGACGTTGCTTTAGGAAGTCTTGGCAGTCATAATAAACGGCTTTCGATCCTTCCAACTCTTCTGCAAGAAGTTGTCTTCCTCCATTTCTCCTGTTTCGGGTCGAAGCATCTGGGTTGAGAGAAGTTTCATGTTAATCAATGTTTTAATGATTAGCTCACTCCTCATCAGGGATACCCATGTCAAAAGGAGGTGACCGTGTTGGGGGGTACCCAGATGATGGTTAATGTCCACAGGGGCAACGAGCTCGCGTGTTTGAGTACGCTTAGTTTCATAGAGCGTCTCAAAGAGCTTCTCACACTGCTCCTGGAGGACCTCATTCTTCATTGCTATCTTGTTGTTCTGAGCTTCTAGCTCATCGACTTTAGCTTGAAGAGCAACCCTTTTTCCTTCCTTCTTTCGTTGCTTCGCACTAGGTGCAAGAGGGGTGTCATTCTGTATGCTGTGGTTTCCTTCGCTCCCCATGTTGGAGAGGGATGCTTGGTCAAAAGAGAGTGTACGAATGGTGGAAACCAGTTTGGCAAAGTTGAAGAGAGTGGGAATAAGTGTCGTTCCCACAGACGGCGCCAAATGTTGATGCACAAAATCAGTGAGGACTTTGGTACAACAAAAAATGTTAAGTTTGTGACCTTCGCTAGATTGCTCCGGTCACTAGTGTGGATAAGTATGTAAATGGATAGAGACAGGAAAGCAAACACAAGATGTACGTGGTTCACCCAGATTGGCTACGTCCACGGAGTAGAGGAGTTCTCATTAATTGTGAAGGGTTTACATAAGTACATAGGTTCAAGCTCTCCTTTAGTGAGTACTAGTGAATGATTTAGTACAAATGACATTAGGAAATATTGTGAGAAAATGATCTCTATTTATAGAAGAGAGTTTCTAGTTTCATTCTGATATGACACATGTCGTGTTGTGATTGACTTCTGATGTTGACACGTATCGTGCTATGATTGGCTTCTAATGTCGACACGTGTCGCGCTGTGATTGGCCTCTTAATTGGAGGGAAACTCTTATAGGTCATTGACAGTATAATGTTGACTGGTGCTCAGTAGTTCAGGATTGGTTATGGTACAAACAATACCAATTCTGAAATGAGAGTTTCTCTCACAGCTACTGGAATTCCAGAGTTCTTTCAAGGAGACTGTTCATGATCCCTTTTCTTACAACTTCTGATGTGTCATAACTACACCTACTACTCCAACGAATAGAATGAAGGACATTGTTGAAGCTTCAGAAGGGTTTGTATACCTTGTAAGCTCCATCGGTGTTGCTGGTGCATGTGAATCGGTGAATGAACAAGTTCCAAACCTACTAAGGAAATTAGAGAGGCAACAAACAAGCCTGTGGGATTATCTTTGGGCTGTCAAAGCCTGAACATGTGAAGAAAGTAGCTGAGTGGGAGCTGCTGGCAGGGCCGGCCCAGGCCCAGTGCAGGAGGGGCAACCGTCCAGGGCCCAAAAAAATTAGGGGCACCAAAATTATTAGGGTGGTATATTTACATATGTTTTTATAAGAGTATAAATTTATAAAATTTGATTCAAAGACACATAAATTTAACTAGAAGTGGTGGTTTGTCATTTGAAAATAATAAGGAGGTCTTGGGTTCAAAACACCATGTGTGCTTATTTACTTTCCTTTTTTTACAAATTTTTTTTATAAGAGTATAAATTTAGAAAATTTGGTTAAAGGATCAAAAAGTTTAATTAGAAACAATGATTTTGTTGTTTAAAATTAACAAGTGGTCCTAAGTTCGAAATGCTATGTGCATGTTTATTCTTTTCAATTTTTTACAAATTTTTGTTTGGTTTGGTAATTTATTTTTAGTTACTATCTAGTAGTTATGTGGGTTGTTATTTTTAAATATTCGTTTTAATTCAAGTCTAATCTTCAACAAAGAATAATACGTAGACCAAATTTGCAAATTATATGACGTGTCATCAAAATGTTTAATTTAGTACCCATTCATTAATAATACATATTAATTAAAGATTCGAAAACATCATTATTTTTTAGTCCAGTATTGACAAGTTTAGTAAATAAGAAAAAAACACCTCACGATTTATTCAAAAACACATTCAAAGTTCAAATGGAAAACAAAACTCATCATCTATCTACTTGTAAGCCCGCAATTTTTTTGTTTCCCTCTCTCAATACAAAATAAATTAGTCTTTCTGTATTTCTAAATTATTGAGTTTGAAGTGTTTTTCTAAGTATAATTTTTCGATGTCTTATGTGTGAAAATAAATAATTTTCTTACATGAAGTTAAGGCATTTTTTTTTACGTCGCCCCAGGCCTCAAAAATCTCTGGACCGGCCCTGGCTGCTGGTGTTATTGTTGGTAGTGCCATTGTGAAGGTGTTGGCCGAAGCTAAATCTCCCAAGGAAGGGTTGGAAGAACTTGAAACTTTCATCAAATCTTTCAAATCTGCATTATTGTAGCGTACGGGTGTTTTTGGTATTTTATGTCTTCAATTTTTCTTGTAAGATAAGGATTTGTGTTGCTTGCCTATCAGGTTAGGTTAGTTCTTTACTTTTTTGTTGGTAATGTGGAGGAAATGAGAATATAGGAGGAAACAAAAGTGTTTTTAACAAGAAAAATGAATTTCCTCTAAACATATGTGAGGACATATCGTCATTGATGATTTAATTTTCTCACTGTTTGTTTGGGGTCTGCTCATATTTTGCGCCGGTTGATTATTTTCTTAGTGAATTTTCCTTGCTTAAGAAGTACTTGCTAAAATACTTATTAATTTGTTGGCGTGTGTGTAACAACCCTTGAAGGGCAGTCTGAGATTTGATTCTACTGCCGTTAAAACAAGCCTCAACTTTTTATCTTCGGATTAGGCACCTTAATTTTTTTTGTTGGGTAAATAACTAACCACGTATTGAGCTGATACCACAGTTCATGTAGTCAAACCCAAGTAAATATAAAATGAAACCTCCAATCTGAAACGATACAACACAGGCTAGGAGTTCTAGTTATGGCTCCCCGCTCCTGCGTATTTTAGGTAGCTAACATTTGTTTTCTTATACAAAGGGAAACACACTTCCAAACTAACATTAGGGAGTTTAACAGGATAATTTTGTGAACGCTAACAATGCATGTTCAAATCAATTCGTCTTGCGTTTAAGCACAACAAAAAAGATAACCGACTTCTTTGACTCAAATATTGAGATTTGCTCATCAATTTTTTGCTGATACAAGCTGAAGAGTTCATCTAAGATTTCTTCTCCAAATTGTTGCTTGATGAGTCCCTCTGTGGCAGCTCTCATCGTAGATGCACTACGTTTAGCGCCATGTTCCGGGACATGATAAACTAGGGTTTCCAAAGCCTCTATGCTGAAGCATCCATTTCGTTCTACAATGACTTCCAGTTCTTGAGGAGAAACGCAGTATGAAGGGATGTTAAATGAATCTACCTTCTCTTCACTAACTACTCCCTGTTTGAAGGAACAACACCATATTATAGCCCAAATGCCCTCCAATGTAACAAAATAAAAACACAATCTTAATTATACAGCCATCTACATAGAATTAAGATACATATCAGTTTAGTTAGCACAAATTAACTAAATTTGTTCTTCCGATTATAACAGATAAATAATTAGAGTTTACATAACAAAGTATGATATATTATTGTGATGTAGTTAATTTAACTACAATATCAAACATAGTAGTGATGTATGAGTATTGGTTACCTTCCTAGCCATGTCCATGAGGCAAGATCCTAAAATGTCAACAGTCACATTTCCTAGAGAGTGAGAATCACCATTGTGGTGTCCTAAAAGGGTAAGCACTACCAATCCTCGATGCACAGTCTCTAGCGCCCTGGCATGGAGGAAACACTCCATGTCCTCAGAATATTGGGCTTGATAAGCCTTGACCACTTCGTCTCGGGAATTTGAGTAGTGGATTCTTCCTTTATTCCAAGCTCGACTGGTTTTCTCCGTTACATCTTTTGGGACTCTAGAAAGCCAATGAACGGCTAACGACGAGTGAAAAAAGTGAATGGAAGCCTTAGGAAATAAGCGACCGTAGAAGGAACCTGGCACACCCGCTGCATAGTAGTTCCTGTTCCGAGGGAGGGATTTGAAGAGCATGTTAAAATCATTTAGGGTGTGATCATTGAAAAAAGCTTGAAATTCGGGGATTTGGGAACTTAGCTCTCGGCTTTGATACTCGAATTTCACAGCTTCAAGTATGTTTTCAACCGATAAAAAAGTATTAGGCCCAACCGAGCAACCCAAATCTGCAATATGGAAGGTGTCGCAAGGTAAGCAGATGTCCAGATCAAGATTTTGTTTAATAGTCTTGGTTAGAAGTTCTTTGGCAGCATCAACAACTAGTTTCTACAAAAGCACAAAAAGGAATGGAAAAAAATTATCATCAATGAATAGTTTAATTTGCAGCTTCACTACTTGAACTCATGAAAAAAAAGCATCGTGAGAATTTCCTAATATATACTAGTAAAGGCTACATGAGCAGAACCTGGCGTATCGAGTTCTTGGCATAGCTGTTGGGGCCATCTCCGCCTGTCATTGGGTAGGCTTCAGAAACATTACTGGAATCCTCCACTGCAGCTGCCATCTCTCTCGCTTGCTCTTTAACTGGTTACGGGTATGTGGATGGTACCGTGGGAGTAGTTATTTATATATGCAGTTTGCTGGCTACACCTACACTCGATAACCCAAAGGCAATAATAAAATACTAATGGAAAAGTCTACGGTAGCTGGTAACGATGACGTGCTCTGATGCGTCAGAAAAGTTTGAAAAGTCATTGTAATACAACTAATCAACAGTTTGCTACCACTTGATAAACTGTTGCATAAATTTATTGTAGGGTAATGCTAGGGTGACTAGATTTAATAGATAAAATTTTGTAAATCAAATGATATACAAGTTGATGTTTCGATTATTATTTAAATGTTGATAAATGTGCTCATTTCAATTGGTGACACATCTTTAGTTTGCAAAATTTGTCTACAAATTTAATCTCCCTATCATTACCTTTATTGTAATGTTACTTCGAAAATTATTTTGTTTTTAAGTTTCAGTTTTTATTTTTGTGTTAAAAATAAAGGTCGAGGGTGCAAATTTTCATATAAAATTTTGTATTTCTAGTCATATGATCGAATACATTAATCGGAAACAATACTCTAAATTAAACGGGGATGTATAAAAAGAAAAAAAAGTGTGTTTTCAATAGTAATCAACTTTAGAACTCTATAAAAGGTAATATAAAGGAATAAATAAATGACAAATTCCTTATTTTGTTCAAGTTGAAAATTATTCATGAAGGGTATGTAAGATCCCACATCGCCTAGGAGTGAGGATCCTGTAAACCTTATATGTATATTCTCATCTCTACTTAGCACGAGACATTTTGGAAGCTCACTGGCTTCAGGTTTCATCGGAACTCCGAAGTTAAACAAATTCGCACGAGAGCAATCCCAGAATGGATGACCCACTGGAAAGTTCTCGTGTGAATTCAGAAAAACAAAACTGTGAGAACGTGGTCGAGGCCTAAAGCAGACAATATCGGGCAAAGTCGTGCCCGAGATGTGATGGGGGCCCCGGTCTGGGATGTGACAATTTGGTATCAGAGCCAATTCCTAACCGGAAGTGTGCCGACGAGGACGTCGAGCCCCTAAAGAGGGTGGATTATAAGATCCTATATCGTCTAGGGGTGAGGATCATGTAAGTCTTATATATATATATATATATATATTCTCATATTTACCTAGCACGAGACCTTTTAGGAGCTCATTAGCTTCAAATTCTATCGGAACTCCGAAGTTAAGCGAGTTCGCGCGAGAGCAATCACAGGATGGGTGACCTACTGGGAAGTTCTCGTATGAGTTCCCAGAAACAAAACCATGAGGGCGTAGTCAGGGCCCAAAGTGAACAATATCGTGCTATGGTGAAGTCGAGCCCGGGATGTGGTAGGAGCCCGGGCCGAGATGTGACAGAGTAACTGTCCTTTTATCCTAACAATTTTTGTGAAAACTAGTAGGGATACCTATTCTTCACGAATAGTCTTCAATTTGTAAAAAATATTGAAGTTCGCCTATCAGTTTGATATATAAAATATCATGACCAAAATCAATTAAAGCCACCTAACAAAAACAACTACTCCCAATATTTATTTATTTATTTTCCAGATGTAATTATTTAAAGAAACGGCATATTAAACAGACTCTTGACAAAGCAAATGCATATGAAAGTCAAACTTATCTTGTGCAGATTACTTATGGTGTCTCATATGTTTCTTTAAAAAGGCTTTTACTTCAACATAACGAAAACATTTGCACGAATTATAGTAAGAACTAACTAATATATATCAAGGGATCCCCTCTAATGTACAATTTGCACAGCTCAAGAATTTCCAAACTTGGAAGGGTGATTAAAGTCGTTTGCTCAAAAAGAAATAACATAGCAAGAAGTGAAAAATGGAAAACCTAACTTATGTAAAAATAACATTATTTCTAGACATATTTGAATTGCCGAATATGGGAACACACTTATTAGTCATCGGATTACAAACCTTAGCAAGAACAAACAGCAATTTCTGCACCATTGTTTTCTAGCTTCATAGTTCGCAGAGTCGGAGCTATGTAACGAATCTCTCCACGTCTTTGAGACTTTTTTGAGCAATCCATGATACCCATGTGACACTGTTGGCAAACATTTCATTTTCAAATCATCAGGAAATCCAAGAAAAATATATTGGTGCAAAGATTCTCTATATTCGAAAAAATTGTTAAATAAAACCAACCAAATACTTGAGACAAAAAAGGGATAAACTACATGCATACAGAACTGAAGGAAAAAAATTATATATAGAAAAACAATGCTCTAAGCATAAACCCGGGAGCACAAAACACACAATTGATATTCACATTATACCAGAATCACTAACCAAGAAAGACCTGATAGTAAACAGTTTTAGTTATGTACAGAGTTTGCATATGCTGCAAGTCTCCAAGTACTTTTGCTGGGACTGCAGTGAAGGGAAGGTAAAAAGAATTAGACTCTAACATAAAGTATTTTATAAATATCATACATTGTCATGAAAAACATGTATTTTGAAAGTATAGATGCAATTTATACATCAATAGTGTAGACAACGGGAACTGCTAAAGCATCAATATAAAAAATAAAAAGCTTCAGTGGACATAGGGCCTATGATAAACGTCAAGTAATTGACATTAAGTCAAAAAGGCATCTGCTAAAGTGTAATTAACCCGACCTAGTTTAATTCATGAACTCAACTCGGTTATCCCATCATATTCTTAATAACTATGCAAACCATGAATGAGATATTGTTGGATCATCATACAAGAACTGATTCAGATGATTCCCATTCTCAAATAGATTTTCCCTGGTGCAACATAAAAGCATTGTTGAGAACCAATGGAAGAAAATATGTTAACAACGGAACCATATATGAGAGGCAAGTTGGTTTGACATGAAAACAAAAAGTGAAATTGTCCACTTAAAAGTCACGCATTATTGTTTAAGAAATATGTCAGCGCGTCCATTCTTCTAAAATAACGATGAATCATGGCCAGCTGAGACCTCATTTTCAAAGATCTCCTCTTGTAAATCAATTGTAATTTTGCTTCAAGGTGAATCTTTGTAATAACCCATAACCCAGAACAATGTTTAAAAGCCAATTTATACACTGAAAACTACATATCTTCACGTCTTTTCTAGAAGGTAACTTTTTGTTCTAATCCATAACCTAGAACAATGTTCAAAACCCCAATCTGAAATTTTAACTGGGTACTAACTTCTATAATTTCCAAATCACAAAATTCCAGTATGGGAATGCCGAAACACAATAAAAATTCAAATTCTTTGTGTACAGGACAACATAAAGATTAAGACTTTTTTTTTTTTTTACTTCTACAACTCTACCCACTTTCACTTTCGAGCCCTAAAATTTCCGGGAAACAAACAGAAAGTGAAAGACGTACCAGGTTCGAAAGAGCGGACGCTCGAGTTTGGTGGAACAGTGATAGCAGAGATCTCTGGTGAGAAAGCTAATAAGATGGATAAAACCATTGAACAAAAATATCCAGATTTTTAAAATTAAAATCACAAAAATTTGAACAAAGAAAGGAAAACCAAAAACCAAACCCAAAACAAATATGTCCGAGAACTCACCAAGAAACCCAAGTTTTTTGGGTTTAAAATTTCTTCAAATCAGAACGGGAGCCAAGCTTTCCTGGGTGTGTCCTTAAGAATTTCTTCGAATCGGAACGGGATAGACAGCATATGTTCTGGTTCGTGCAAAATAAGGTGAGAGAACTGGAGTTCGTGCAGCAAATGGAGGACTACCGGAAGCAAATGAAAAGCCCAGCTCTATGTACGCAGTGGAAGCGGAGCAGTCGACGATGATCGACGCGTGGACAAATAAGTAAATCCACTGTGCAAGGACGAAAACACGGAGAACAGGGAAGCAAATAAGGGCATCACCGTCATTTCACTGTTCATGAACAGTGAAAAACAATGTCAGGGAACCCGGTTTTAATATAAAAAACTTTAACGAAAAGCTCCGGTACTGTTCATTTTAATGAAAAATCACATTTTTATACTAAAAATTCAATCCTGGTACTATTCACTTTACCATTTATTTTGTCCTTATCATTAAAACTCAAAGTTTTCAAGTCATTTTCATTAGTTTTTCTTTTAATATATGTACAATGTGCTTCATCCACGAGCCCAAAAGAATACTTTCGGCTAGACCTGGCATTTTGGACACGATCCGTTAATCTGATCCGATTCGACATGTTAATATTAGTATTGGATTGATACTTAATAGGTTTGGTAGTTAACGGGTGAACCCTTTAAATAACGGATCATTTTAGATCAACCTGTTAGCACCTGTTAGTTGATAATGTTTTAGTAATTTCAGTAAAGTCTTAACAACAAAAAATAAACTTTATGCAAAATAATAATAATAATAATAATTGTTAATGGGTGAAACGGATGACCCGTTAGCTTAATGGGTTGAGTTCGGATGACCCATTAACTTAACAGGTCAGATTGAACCCGACCCAAACCCAGTTGCTGTTTATCATATACTTGCTGCTCCAGCTCTCCAAGTCCGTCTCTATGCCTTTATTTGTATTGATAAGTTCCGAAGCTTTCTGAAGCTTGATGATGATAACACTCACGTTTATGAAAGCTGGATAGCTGATTTTTCGTCTCAAAGTTTAGAGAAAGAAGATGAAGCATATGTCTGGAAAGGATTGTTGGTTCTTAGAATGGAAAAAGAGGATGCGCGATGCGTGTGGCCATCATTGTTGGTTTCCATCTTAGATTTAGGGTTTGTGAGGAGTAAAAAGAAAGACTATCTCAAGCTCGAGGTTGGGTGAACTAAGATAAAAGTGGTGTTTAAATAGACTATAGATTCCTACTCAACCGTAATTATTGTAGACATTGTAACTAAATCATATAATTTTAAAATTGTAAAGACTACTGTTTGTACCATACTTGATCAATCCCGAAACTATTGAGCACCGGTCAACGTTATACCGTCAATGACCCAGAAGAGTTTCCCTCCAACCAGGAGGCCAATCACAGCGCGAAATGTGTCGACATCAGAAGCCAATCATAGCGCGACACGTGTCGACATCAGAAGCCAATCATAGCGCGACACGTGTCAACATCAGAAGTCAATCACAACACGACACGTGTCAATGTCAGAATGAAACTAGAAACTCTCTTCTATAAATAGAAATCATTCTCTTACAATATTTTCTAATGTCATTTGTACTAAATCATTCACTAGTACTCACTAAAAGAGAACTTGAACATATGCACTTGTGTCAACCCTTCACAATTAATGAGAACTCCTCTACTCCGTGGACGTAGCCAATCTGGGAGAACCACGTACATCTTGTGTTTGCTTTCCTGTCTCTATCCATTTACATACTTATCCACACTAGTAACCGGAGCAATCTAGCGAAGGTCACAAACTTAACACTTTCTGTTGTACCAAAGTCCCCACTGATTTTGTGCATCAACATTTGTGGGAACGACACTTATTCCCACTTTCTTCAGCTTTGCCAAGCTGGTTTCCACCATTCGTACACTCTCTTTTGACCAGGCATCCCTCTCCAACATGGGGAGCGAAAGAAGCCACAGCACGCAGAATGACACCTCTCTTGCACTTGGTGTGAGGCAAAGAAAGAATGAATGAAAGAGGGTTGCTCTTCAAGCTAAAGTTGATGAGCTAAAAGCTCAGAACAACAAGATAACAATGAAGAATGAGGTCCTCCATGAGCTGTATGAAAAGCTCTTTGAGACGCTCCACGAAAATAGGCATACTCAAACACACGAGCTCATTACCCTTGTGGACATCAACCATCATCTGGGTGCCCCCCAACACGGAGGGTCACCTTTCTTCGACATGGGTATCCCTAATAAGGAGTGAGCTAATCATCAGAACATTGATCAACATGAGACTTCTCTCAACCCAGCTGCTTCGACCCGAAGCAAGAGAAGTGGAGGAAGACACCTCCTTACAGAATGAGTGGAAGGATCGAAAACCGTCTTTCGCGACTATTGAGATTTTCTAAAGCAACGTCGAGACAATCCCATCCATGTAAGCTCGAATATCAATGACCCAAGAGTCTCTGAAAGACTCAGTCCCCTCCCATGTCCTAGGCCGGCTACCAATTTGGGGAAGGGGCAAAAAGTACTAGAGAAACACGAAGGTATAAGGGACTCAGAGATGTTTCGACAGACATACCTTGGAAGTCAGTACGGCGAGTTCAGGGAAAAATCACATGCTCTTGATCAAACCTTCATACTTCCAAGAGGATATGGAGATATACGAAAGAAAGCTCTAGCGGTACATGACTCCACTCAGGACCCTCTTGTCCTACAGCTTCTTAAGAAAGTAAACAAGTTGAAGGCCGAACGACAAGCTGAGGTACCTGATTGGAACCAACCCAGGCCTGGCCCTCTAACAAGGAGGATCTTCAACACCTATCTTCAAGCGAAGACAAAACAAAAGCTTGGTTTACAACTCTATACTGGAAGGGAAAACCCAATTGAACACCTTAACCTCTTTGAGTCCACCATGACATACCAGATGCACACCGACGAAGAGCGATGTCTTCTCTTCCCCTTCACCCTCTCTGGCGGAGCTCTAAACTGGTATTGCCGTCTTCCACCTGAGACAGTAGACTTATTTGAGGAACTGAGAAAACTGTTTGTCTCTCAACACATCTTCCAGACCGATCGCTTGCATTCTGCAGATGACTTGTACACTATTTGCCAGAAGTCGGACGAGTCACTACGAGAGTATGCCGGTCGTTTCAGCCATGAGTATTCTCGCTGCGCTGAGGCAGATGACAAGACCGCCCTAAAGGCCTTCAAGGCAAGCCTACGTGATTGTTTCTTCAAGTACATGATCAATGCCAATACTTAGAAGACTTACTCTGAGGTGATGGCACAGGCTTACAACCATGCCTCCGCCGATGCAAGGACATATCAAGGGAAACCCTCCACAACCACCCATTATCAGCAAGTAGGGAGTGGAAGCCAGATCCAACAAAATGAGAAGAGATCGACCTTCCAAATGGCAGCGGTGACTTCCCCTACCTTACCTAATACTTTGCCAAGTCAACAGAAATATCAATCTCAGGGCAAAAGGAAAGATTTACATCCTCACCAGTCTCATTTTAGTAAAAGAAGTAAGGGACACTACCACGATAACCAAGGGTATCACCATGATAATCCCCGACCCCAAGCAGTCAACACAGTGGGTCAAGCACGTGTCAGGACAGCCCCTACCCCGAGGTATGAGGCATACACACCTTTGAACGCCACATGCGTGGCTATTTACCCCAGCATAGCACACCTGATACCGAAGCCAAAACCGAGGCACCCGGATTACAAGCCCATGAAGAACACGAACACGTTTTGCTGCTACCACGAGCATAACGGTCATGACGGCGAGAAATGTATCACCCTTTGTCATATTGAAGCCTTGACACGTGAAGGAAAAATTGATCAATTCCTCCTTCAACCTCCAAGGGGTAACCGTAACCAACGCCAGATGAATGTGATATATTCTATAAGTGGTGGCACACCCATATCTAAATCTTCCAACAGGGCCATGAAAAATAGTGAACGAGTTTTAAGGTCTACCACTAAGTGTTTCACGTGGAAGACATCAGGGGAGGTAAGTATCAAAATCCTAACTGGGATCTAATATGTTTCTACCCTGAGGAAGAAAGAGGTATCATCTACCTTCACAATGACCCACTAATTGTGGAAGCTCACATAGCCAACTTTGAAGTACGACGAATCCTGGTAAACACGGGGGTTTCGGTCAGTATCATGTTTGTTGAAGCTTTCAAGGCACTTAATGTAGCTGAACACTTGCTCGATCGCTCGATTTCCCCTCTGATAAGCTTCTCCGGTGATATCGTGCAACCTTTGGAGAGCATACACTTACCTTTCACCATTGGTACAGGTCCTTACACAGCTACCATTACCACTAACTTCCTGGTGGTTGATTGACATACAATGTCATCTTGGGACACACATGCATCAATGATCTCAAAGCCATGGTATCCACACATATGTTGTTGATGAAATTTTCAACCCCCTATGGCAATGGTTACATTAGAGGAGATCAACTTAGTGCTCGATCATGTTACAACACTTCGATCAAGCAACAATATCTGCCTGTGCCCAAGGAAACCTTTTCTATACATGACCAAGTCATAAAGACCAGCCCAGACGAAGCCAACTTGAATCTTCACGGTGGCAACAGTCAACTCGACGATCCTCGAGATAACTCTTTCACCCAGCAAACACAACCCGCTGAAGAGTTAGAGAATGTCTCTATCTCAAAAGATTATCCGGATCGCATGGTGAAGATTGGCACCACCTTATCACCGCCCATTCAGTTGGCATTGATCTCTTTTTTTCAAGAGAACACTGAGGTCTTCGCCTGGTCATACGAGGACATGCCAGGCATCTCTCCCGATATCATCTTTCCTCGCTTAAGTATTGACCCCAAGACCAAGCCAGTGAGATAGAAGCGAAGATCTTATGACGCTGAATGGTACGAGGCAATGAAGGCAGAAGTTGAAAAACTCAAAGGCATAGGCTTCGTCCGCGAAGTTAATTATCCAACGTGGGTAACAAATGTTGTCTTTGTTAAGAAGAATTCGACCAAGAAAAGTCTCCTGCTCCAAAAGGTCTTGTGGAGAATATGTGTCGATTACACCGACCTAAACAAATGATGCCCGAATGATAGCTTTCCTCTTCCTCTCATAGACAGACTTATAGGCTATACAGCAGGGTGTAAACTTTTGAGCTTCA